ATGCTATCCCTCCTAGCCATCACTAAAAGGAGCAACTCTTATGAAAAAAGTACCCAGAATGATCAACCAGGCAATGGGGTCAAGGAGATAGATCAAAGAGGAGATGTGATCAAGGTCATAAGTAGAAGAGTTTGCTTTGATGAGCTTTGACTTCAAAGGATGCAGAAGTTATATGTACTATATAGAGAACTCATGATGGCTTTGACTTTCAATAAAATAGGAAGTGGGGTATGGGATATGGGGAGGTATAGAGTATATGACAAGAGAGTATATGGTTCAGAACAGACAATGAAGAGAGTATGGCAGCATCAATGGTAGGGAGGACATAGAGAGGAGAATTGCTACACAACAGTGAAAACCCAGTCGAGATTAGATGTCATGAATGTAGTAGAGAGCTGGCATAGTTGCATATATTCAGCAGTAGGGATATCATAGGAATAGCCAAGGCTTGAGGATTAGCAGGTCATGAATGATGTCAAGGTCAGGGTCAAAGCATTCAAAGACAGAGGGAAGTAGATAATAAACATTTTTGATTGGCTTGGTCCTGGCCACCTCTCAGTGCTGCAGAAAGTGTTTTTGATACAATTCAATACTGAGTGCAAAGCACTGGTGATGATACACAAATGGATCTGTGATCACATTGACTTGGGAATTCCCACCAAAGTCTAATTACAAGATGGTAGGATAACAGACACACTCAGGAGACGTCCCATTTGTGGAGTAAGCACTTTGCTCTCCATCTTTTGAATCCTTGGAAGTACAAACATTCTCATACCTTTAGTTCTCTGAGGTTTAGAATCTCTACTGGATTTTAGTGTCCTTTAGCATCAACCCTCTCCTATCTCTCTCTTTTTTTTTTAGGCAATTGGGGTTAAATGACTTGCCCAGGATCACACAGCTAGTAAGTGTCAAGTGTTTGGTCTGAGGCTGGATTTGAACTCAGGTCCTCCTGACTTCAGGGCCAGTGCTCTAGCCACTGTGCCACCTAGCTGCCCTTTCCTATCCCTTGTCTTAGGGAAGTGACTAAGCACTGATCTAGTGAACAAACCTCTAAGAAGACCTGGCTCCTTCTTCCTTTGTGTTGTGAATGTATGCATCCTTATTTCATCCTGGTCCTTGACTCTGTTGCAGAAGAGGTGGTTTATGTCATCTGTGACTCAGGTGAAGGAGGGCTTTCTGGTAGGGAGGGGTGTTCAAAAGGCAATGTGTATCTCTGTGGGACTATGGATCTGGAAATAGTTTCTGAGTAGGTCAAGTTATGGGAAGGCTGGAGGTAAGAAAGATGGAAATAGGATAGCAAAATGAGCACAGGTTGGTCTACCAGCAGGATTTTACATGAGTTTCATGATTGTGAGAGAGAAAGCAGGGCAGAGGAAGAGGGAATAGATGGATGTGGTAGAGGGGGTGAGGAACCCCCCCCATACATACATTTATTCATAAAACCACCTGAGCAAATTTGGAAGAAACCTCATAAGTCTAGTCTAACTCATATCAAACTGAGAATCCCCTCCATAACATCTTCGACAAGTGGTTATCCCATCTCTGATTAAAGATCTTCAGTAAGGACAAACCATAGCAAAATATCTCTCTAATTATCTTGAAAAGCTTCTGAAGCAACCCATGCAAGTTTTAGATGACTGTCACTGTTAGGATGTCTTTCCTTACAAAGAATCTAAATTTGTTTGTCTGTAGCTTCCATCCATTATTCCTAATTCTATCCTTGAGAGCCAAGAGTAACAAATCTAATCTCTTTTCCACATGACATACCTTTGAATCCTTGAAGACAAGTTTATCTCCCCCTTCAGTCTTTTCTTTTTCAGATTAAACATTTCAAGTTCCTTCAGCTAACTCTTATATGAAATGGTCTTAAGACCATTATCTTAGTTGCCCTTATCTGGGTGCTATCCAACTTTCCAACATCCTTTCTAAAAAGAATTGAACTCCTGGTGAGGTCTGACCAGAGCAGGTAATAGCATTTATATAAATTTCTTATTTTAGACACTTTGTTGTTGTTCAGTTATGTCCAACTCTTTGTGACCCCATTTTGGGTTTTCTTGGCAAAGATACTGGAGTGCTTTGCCATTTCCTTCTCCATCTCATTTTACAGATGAGGAAACTGAGGCAAATAGTGTTAAGTGACTTTCCCAGGGTCACATAGCTAGTAGTATTTGGGGGTGGATTTTAACTCAAGAAGATTAGTCTTTCTGACTGTAGGCTTGGTGCTCTATCTACTGTACCACCTAGGTTATTTGGGACCCTACATTTTTCTTAATGAGGCAGTCAGGAAATACTTCTCAGCGGAGATAGAACTTGACAGCTGTCTCTAAAGGTATTAAAGGATATGGACATTAAAGGATATTAAAGGACATGGAGAAGTAGAGAGTAAGGGAAATAATATAAGCAAAAATTTGGAGGTGGTGATGAGCAATGCTACATTTGGAGAAGAATCAGGAGCCTGAATTATATGGAATAAAGGATTTTGTTACAGCATAGTGAGAGTTAAAGTTGGAACTAGATTTTGGAAGGCCTTGGATGCCTGGGTAAAGAGTTTGGGCTGTATCCTATAGACAATGTTTTTGAGCAACGGTGTGACATAATGGAAATGAGATCTCAGGATGATTAATTTGCACCAGGTTTGCAAGAAGTTGAGCCTGGAGACAGTCAAACATACCAGAAACTTTCTGCAATAATCCAGGCTGCTCCTCTTCCCTGATCCAAAACTGCCACTTGTCTAGTTCTGATTCAAATTATTCATAAAACACAATGTATTGGAAATTTTTCTGTCATCAGTGACAGAAGGTACCAAAGGTTGAAAAAAATGTTTATATTATCCCAGCCATTCTTCCCTCCCTGCCCCATGGATGAGTATACACTTCTTCCTTTACGGGGGACACTAATCTTATTTTAAGGTCAATGAAAGATGTGCAAGGGGGAACACAAAATGTTGCCTCCTTTCTTTCTGTATAAGCAAAATCTAACCTTCCCTCTTCTGGATACTGATGGAATAACTCTGCTACATGTTGCCCTACCTCTCAGGGTTGTTGGGAGGATCCAATGAGATAAAATTTGTATAGTGCTTACACAGTGCACAGTATAGTAGGTCTTAAATCTTTTCCTCTTCCTCTCTTCTCCCACTATATTTTGATCCTTTATCCAAAACTGGAGTGAGGACAAACCTGGCTGGAAATAGGTACATCCACTTTCAAACATCATTTCCTAGAGACAAATAACAGCAATAACAATAAAAATTCAACAGCATATTTTCTTCACTGGATCCCTGGCCATATCTCTTCATTGGCTTTCAACACTCTGGATATAAGACAATTAGAAAGGAGATCTATTTTCATGAATACTCCAGAAGACCCAAGAAATCTTACTAGGCAGCTGCTCCTCAGGACTCTGTGACTTCCAAAAGGATCTTTGATTTACATAAACACATATACATATATGTATGTGTATGTATAGATGTAAGTATTTATGTGTATGTATATACACATGGGTCTGTACATATACAGATACAGAGATGCAGAAGAGATTGGGAGAACTCCCAGTTCACAGAGTTCAACATGAAGGAGAAGGGGCTTGTATTATCAGGTGCCCACCACTGCATTCACACCACATGGCTTGGTGTTCCACTCCATCCATGCCTGTCTTTGGATCTGGAGCATTGGGGACCGACTCCAGGACGCTCAGATTTTGGACTGGAGCTCACATGGCCATTAGCAAAGGCAGTTTCCAGAGGCTTATCTCCCAGGCCAGGTGGACATGCTGATCCCAAAGAGTAGCGAGCCAGGTTCTGCGGTAGATAGGATGATTGTTGAGAAAGAATACAAATCTTCCACCTTATCCAAGGGGAGTGGGTCTCTTCTTTGTTCACTGGGCGTTCTCCCCACTCATCCTTCTCCTTCTAAGGAATTGTCAGTGGACAGACTGCCGACCAACTCGGCCCTTTCCTATTTCTACCAGTGGACCGTCAAAGGTTTGCTAAATCTGTACTAGAAAAGACAGAGGTTAACTGCAGTGACAGCGCTGGACTTGAGATATATGCCGAAAATGTAACAGATAAATCACCCTCCCCCACCCTTGTTCTGGTCCTGCCCCCATCCAAATGCCTTCAATCCCCCTTCTTTAGAAAACGAGTTAACCCCTTCTTTCCCCCCAGCTGAAAACCAAAGGTCAGACAGCCTCCCTCCCCCCACCCCCCAATTTAATAGTAGAGGAGAATAGAAGGTTTCCTGTCTGACTGATTTTTTTTTTTTTGACTGAGCGGGCCGCAGTAGTTCTCCCAGAGGTCAACCAGACCATTCCCTTGCCTTTCAACAGGACAGTTCTCCAGCCCGACTGTGGCGTCAGGGACAGGGTAGGGAGTGTCTTCAGGGAAGGACATTTCCAGCCAGGATTCCCCAGATTCTGTTCTAGTGCCTTGAGGACTTCGGGTCTGAAAAGCCAAGCCATACTCGGAAACTCTCCCAATCCCACAGGAGGAAGAGAGGGAAACTTTCTCCCGCGGCCAGCCCGCAAAGCTAGGCTACCTCCTCCTGCCTCCCCTGCAGCCGTCTCTCTCCCCCTCCTCCATTCCCTCCCCCCGCAGCTCCCCCCTCCTCTCCTGCAGGAGGCGGGCAGGTCCAGGCGGATTAAACACACAGAGCCACAGTCCCGGCCACCTCTCTTCCGCCCAGACTTGGCCGGCTATTTCTCTGCCACAGTCCCGCTATCTGTCAGCCTCCGCCTGCCTGCCTCTTTCCCTCCCTTCCCTCCTCCTGGAGCTGCTGCCACTCGACGGGAGCCAGCCAGCCCCTGGAAGAGGCGACTGGCCGGCGGGACTGACAGCTGGCTCCTGGCGGAGCTTTGTAGGCCGGGGGGGGGGAGTTAGTCTGGGTGTTCGGAGACTGCCCCGCGGAGGGCGCCCTGGGATCGCGCCAAAGGGGCATGAAGTTGTTCGCAGGGGAAATCCAGACAACGGGAGGTGCGGGGGAGCCCAGAGACGCCCAAGTCTAGAGGCTCCTCAGCTCGGTGCGCCATGCTGCTCCAGGGGCCCCGAGGGTCGGCGCTGCTGCTGCTGCGGAGGGGACTGATGCTCCTGGGAGTTCTTCTACTGCCAGGTAAGTTCCGGGGCCCTTAGATGTGTCCCCATCCCAAAACAGGTTCCTGACCCCAAGAAATGGTCAATGGGGTCTAGACTCTGAGAGTAAAGTGGGACCACTGCGTTCCTGCGGTCTCAGGTTCCATCCCACCTTGACTAGTCTTCGAAAAATTAAAGAGAGGGAACCTTAGCATCCCGCTCCACCATCAGCTTTGGGGGGCGGGGGAGGAGAAAAGGAAGTGCTGTTGGACCTTTCGTTTTGCACCTAGGGGAGGGGGAGGAAAAGGGGTTAATTCGCTTGCGAAAGTAGGGGGATTGCAGGCATTTGGAAGAGATTGGGGGGTGGGAATGGAGACAGTGGGAGAGGGAGGGAGAAGGAAAATGTTTTCATACCAGCTCTGGCTTTGTTGGATATTGACATAAGCTCCTCCCAAGCCTCCTACGCCTGATCCCCAATCTGTTGCCCCATTGTGGTTCCCGAATACCCTCTTCTCAATACTCTCCTCATTCTGCTCAGAAAGAAGGAATGACTGTCAATGAGTGATCAGACCCTTCTTTTCCTTTTCCACATCCTCCGCCACCATCTCACCCTTGCTGTCACGGAGTTCCCCTCAGTTCCTCTCCTTGCTGTCTCCCTTCCCCCTTCCCCCTCCAGCTTCTTTAGGCAATGCCTGGAGTGTGGACTTTCTTTATTGCTCCAGGTTGACAATTCCCTTCCACCTATCCCTACTCTTTAGTTTCTGGTGTCTACCGCCTTCCCTGTACCTTGTCTTGTCTAGGCTCTGAACTATAAGGAAAGTGGAGCATTCAGCACTGCCAATAGTATCTTTTTTCTCACGTCCTGTGAAATGCGAATGGAGACTCTCCCATCTTCCTTCAAGGTGGAGGGGCTCTGTAAGTGCTAGATGGTGTTAGTGACGATATGGTGGGGGAGATAAGTGCTGAAGTGGACGTGAGGGACTTGGAGGTTCTAGTCATAGCTCTATCACTGCTTTGGTGACCTTGAGCACGGCACTTAATATCTCTGTGAAATGGGAATAACAATATGTGGTCTGATGGGAGGGGGGAGTATTGTAAAGACAAAATTAAGTAAGTTATGTAAAAGTACTTGACAAATACAAGGGATGGTGATGATGTTGAAAGCTAAGCAGGTTCCATCTTTTGTCTTATCAGGGATCCTGAGTTTCCTCTTCTAGCTCTCATTGCCTTCCTCAACTAGCCTGGAATGAGCAGAACATACCTCTCTGGATGCTTCTTCTCTCTTCCAGGGGCAGAGAGGAAATAACTAACCCTAAAATGAGGGCCTGAGGCTTCAATTAATTTCAATGGAATACACTTTACTTTACCCCCACCAGCCATTCTTGTGCAATAGTGAACTCACTATTTCATGTCAACTCCTGTGTTCAGAAGACAATCTCTAGGCATTTGAGGGGCTAATAGTCTAGTTGAGCAGATGCGCGCGCGTGCACACATACACACACACACACACACACACACACACACACACAGAATACCTCCAGAGGGAAAAAAAGAACATAAAATAGAACACGTTTGGTATTTTATAATTCACAAATTGAACCAAAACTACACAGAATAGGTTGTGCTAATATGGTCATTCCCATTTTACAGCAGTAAAGTGACTTGCTCTTGATCACATAGCTTGTAAGTAGGTACTTCCTCCTTCTCCTCACAGTGGAATAATTGTTTTTACCTGAAACTGTCTTCCTTGGTGCCTGTTTATTCCAGATTTGCTCTGTTTTATGTATCTCTGCAGCATCTGGCCATTGGAGACTCGAGCCCATGCTGAGGAAAGACTGCTGAAGAAACTCTTCTCTGGCTACAACAAGTGGTCCCGGCCTGTGGCCAACATCTCTGATGTGGTCATTGTCCGGTTTGGACTGTCCATTGCTCAGCTCATTGATGTGGTAGGTTCTGTTGCTTCTGAGAAAGATTGCGACCTGAACAGCAAGCGTTTGGCAGTGTTGGGGTTATGGAGCTAAAAAAAACCTTTAAAGGCTTTTCATCCTACAGGACCATTTCATCTCTCATAGAAGTACCAGATTTATAAGCTCTTCAAAATGTGGCCCCATTCGTTGGAACTTTGTATTAGGAAAACAGAGTGGAAACATTTCCTGAGTTGTGATTTTAAATGTGAGGTTCTGCTCAGTTTCATAGTTACTCAGCCCTAGAACTGGTCACTAGCCATCTTTTCTCATGACAGGAGTAGGTGAAACCAGGGAACGATAATAGGTAATACCTATGAAGCACTTGCGACGTACACTATCTCATTTGATCATCACAACAGCCATGGAAGGTAGGTGTTGTAGGCATTAGTATTCTTAATTCACAGAGGAGAGACAGTATTGAAGAGCAGATAGAGAGCCGTCTTTGAAATTCCTCCTCTGGCACATACTGGCTGTATTACCTTGGACCAATCCCTTGGCTTCTCAGTTGCTCCAGGAAACTCTAAGATTTTAAGTCATAGAAAAGGTGTCCACCTGCCTTAGGAAAGGCTTCATCTAGAAGCTGTCCGTGGTGCTGAAACCACAGGCCCACTCCCTTTAAGTAGGAGGAAATCCATCATCACATAGCTACTAAATGTCATGGGCGACATTCAAACCCACATTTTGCATGACCCCAAGTGTAGTGCAGTTTCCGCTGTACTATGCCTCTCACAATGCAGGAGAAGGCTCATCTAAAAGTACCACTGTTTGTAGTCACATGTCAAGGCAATGCCACACTGATGCCTCCTATATCACCATAAATTTAATGCCTGCCTGGGTCAATTAGGGTTTTTTTTTTTAATTCAGACACAGACTGACCACTAACTCCCAGCCATCTCAAAAATTCATGCTACTGGTCAAAGGGGGCATCAGGGAAGAGCATGGTGCAACTCATCCCTACTCCTCTGTGGGGGAGGGGGAAGAGGAGGGGCAAGATTCTAAACTAGCTCCTTCTGATGATATGAATAGCAGCCTAGGTCTGCCATAAATGAGTGCAAGCCTGTGACAAGAATGTGTAACTGGCCTATTGTAGGCTGTTACTTTCAAGACTTACAGAGACTACATTTTGCTCAGCCATTGCTCTGAGAACACACAACCCTCAGCAAATTCTGTGCCAAATTGTGACTGAGTGGTGACCTAAGATCTATAGATACTGTTGTTGCTTCTCAATTATCCATGCTAATGGAATGGACCAGAGACAAAGAAAAACCATTTGCAGGTCACAGAGAATGACTAAGAGTTGTTGCTGTCATGGGCAGCAGCTGTGTTCCTCATGGAACACCAAAGGAGTGAAATTGCATGGGCCAGGTCACAGACACTAAGACATTCCTATTTCTCAAGGTGGGTTTAATCAGCTCCATTTTGTGGGCCCACTTTTAGAGTTGGCCATCTGAGCAGATGGTGAATGTATATGGCCTTCAGCATGGGAACCTCTATACTGAGATTTCTGAAACACAGTGTGCTACAACACCTGCCTCCACCACTGGATAGTCAGGAGATGTGGGTTCCGGTTTTGGCTCTTCTCACTACCTGTAACCCTGAGCACACACCACCTAGAATAGGGCTTCACATATGTATTGAATAGAAACCTTTGGGCCTCAGTTTTTTTTAAATCTATAAAGCTAGGGGATTGTACTGGATGATTTCTAAAGTCTTTTGCAATGATAAAGTCTATGGTCCTTATGACTAGGTCATATCTAAACTTTATTTTTCTAGCTTTGACAGTGTATGTTCTAAGGCCTCTTTCAGGTCTAACAGTTTATGTCTTATGGCCCCTTTCAGCTCTGACCTTCTCTGAGTCCATAAACATATAAATTGGGGCCAGGCTCCCTGGCCTACCTGTAACTAGCTTTCAAATTAGTGCCATTGTGGTGAATCTGAATAATTCAGAATGCTGGCCCTAAGGGCAGCCCTGCTATTAGAGTTTAGTCTATTAGCAGTATGAAAAGATCAATAATAGTGTTTTGATGGATTTTGCTTTTCCAAAAAGATCCTTTTCTTGTGGAGACTAGAGTTTTGCATTTCAGCCCAGCTCAAGCTAGAGTAGGACCTAGAAAAGGGGTCTGGAAGGAAGCCTTTGTAAGGATGTTATTCATATCATGGGATCATTATGGGGTTCTGGAGCATTTTCAGATATTAGTCTCTGAGTCATAGGTTGTTAGGGGGTATTGCCACTCCCTTTTAGTCACTAAATCAATCACTAAGGATTTGCAGGTAAAGAAGGTAGGTCAAGTCAGGGCAGTCCCCAAGGGCAGAGGTCACACTGTACTATCTTTGAGAGATCAGAAAACAGATACTTTTCGGGTTTTTTTCTTGATTGCATTTTGCTACAGCAGGCAGGAATCCATTTCCCCTACTGTTTCATCTGTCAAGAGGATACAGCCTTGTATTTCCTCCTTGACACCTAGAGGACAGCAATTCAGTTTAGTTAGTATTTATTGAGCACTTCCTGCATGTTAGGCTTTATAGTGGATTTAGGAAGAGAAGATATGGACTCTGCCCTCAAGGAATTTAAAGTCTAGTTAAGAAGACACAATTTATACCCTGCCTAGAGAATAGATGATAAGTCTTAGATGAGTAGCAGGAACTGTTGGATGGGATAGGAGCTAATTGGAAAGAGAGAGAGGGGAAGAGAGAGAGAGAGAACACTGTATGGACTGAAGCATAGTATTATAGAATTAGAAATAGAAGATACCTTAGAGATACTGACCTCTCAGTTTACAGATGAGGAAATTGAGGCCCAGAGGGGGTGAAATGACTTGCCCAAGGTCACACAGGTAGTACATGAACAAAGTAATGGAGGTAGGATTGAGGCTGGTGTGTGCATGTGTGTGCAAGTACATGAGTGTGTGTGTGTGTGTGTGTGTGTGTGTGTGTGACAGAGACAGACAGAGAGACAGAGACTGAGACAGAAACACATACATACATATATATATACATATACATACACACACACACACACACACACACACACACATATACAGAGAGAGAGGGAGAGAGAGCACAGCCAGGCTTAAGGGGACGGTATGTGATGTGCTCTCTCATTTTCTGAGAGAAAAATCACTCAGAGAGATACCACTCAGATATGTGACAGAAAAATGAATTCCTGCTCAGTGTCAGCATCAATCCCCTCCATTAGGCCAAGGTCACTTAGCCCTCTCCGTGCTGTCCTCCCAGGTGATGATCAGAGAAGCAGGATGAAGCACAGAATCTCTAGGCTGGCTAGCTGCCTCTAGTGGCCTGGACAGGCTTTCATGAAATCCTTGCCTTTTCCAGTACCACTCTGGAAAATAGAGGATTGCACACTCCAGGGAGACTAGCCTAGTTGCTAGCAGTATTCTCCTTGTCACATGTTATCTCAGGTTTCCACAGCCACTTCCGTTCTTTGTTTTTTACCTTCCCCTTCCTTGTCTCTCCCTTTCTTATCCCTTATCCTACTCCATTTCTTTGTCTATCCTTGTCCCTGTCTCTTGTCCTCCATCTCTTCCAATTCTCCTGCCCACTCTGGTTGTTTGACCTCTCCTCTGGGGGATTTGTCACTGGAAGATGAGCCCCCCCTCCTGTACCATCTCCCTCTTCCCATTTCTCCATCTCAGACCACCTAAGACCATGTGACCCAGATTCTTTAGTTTCTTCATCTGTAAAAATAAAGGGATTGAACTAGATGATCTCTAAGATCCCTCCATAGAATTCTGAGTCAAAGATTTATGATGACAGAAGTGTTGTTTTAAATGGGCAAAATTGTCTGTTTAATATTCAGGCAGCACAGAGAGTGGCAATCCCTCTTGTCACAGCTTCCCATGTTTGTCAGTGTCTGCCAGCGTGGGCCATCCCTGGCAGCTGGGGCAACTCAGCTTTGGCCTGTTAAAAAAAAAATTGGTGCAGTATTGGTCTTTAGTGGAAAATGTGCTGCTAGGCTCCCTTTCCTTCCTGCTAAACCCTATTGTCCCTAGAAGATCCCTAGGGAAAGCAGTAACAGGGGAGCTGCCTTTTGATCTTTGCTCTCCTCCTACCCATGTACCTTTTGGCAAGTTACTTCATTTCTATGTGTCTCAGTTATTTCTCTCAAGTAGAAATATTACTATCTGCCCTGCCTGCATCACTGGGCCATTTTATTGGAGGAGGTGGGGAAATATGAGAGAAATCAGACTTGTGATTTCATTGGTGTCAGGAACTCAGGGTACCAAGACTCATTTGACAAATACAGACAGCAGCCACCTAGAGGCATTAAGAGGTTAAATAAATTGCTTAGGGTCATGCTGCTAGTACTCATCAGAGGTGGGTCTTCCTGTCTCAGGCCAGCTCTCTATTCCTTATGGTATTCGATTGCCTTCCACCTGGACTGTTTCTAGGGTCAAATAGGATAATGTTTTGGGAAGTGTAAAACAACATGCAAATATGAGATATTATGTGGTTACTCTGAACTGACAAAAATGGAGAGCTGGCCATCTAGTACTACCAGAGCACCATGGAGTTCAAAATCTTCTAGAATTGTTTCTGTAAAATATTCCCCTGCCTGTCTTCCCCTGCTAGGAGATGGGCCATATGATTGTAGATCTAGCCTAGAAGGGGGTTCAGAAGCCAACTAGACCAACCTCTTCATTTTACAGATGATAAATCCGGGGCCCAGGGATTTTACAGGTCCAACATTACTTGCTCAATGTCATGCAATGTTAGAGGCAACATTTGAATCCAAGTCCTCTGAGTCCAGAATTTGATCTCTTTGCACTGCACTACGTTGGTGTCTGTGAACTTGGTGTCCTATTCATAAAGCCTGTTTTGGTATGTGTAGACTCCATCTTGGGCTAAAAAGTGACTTCTGGCAAAGAGCAGCTGTCTTATTCTTGCTATCCAAGGATTCCAACATGCTAACACTTTACGCAGATATACTTTGCACTTTCCAAAGAACTTTCTCATTTAATTTTTCACAACATTTCCAAGTTGGCATTTATTTCAGCACTTTTAGAATCTGTAATTTCCCTACTGTATATATTCCCTCCACTGGTGCAGATCACAGCCCCTTTAGTAGATTATCTTTGTGAACTGTCATGGCCCAGAAAATTTATCACTCAGTGACCATCCTTCTGATGAGAAGCTCCTAAATTAGCCAGATTGGTCTTCAGATGACAATGTCATAGCCCTGATGCATCTTGGTAGGATCTTCCAGAACTTCAGTTTCACTGGCATAGATTTTCAGAACATTGGGTCATTTCCATGTCATGATGAGGCGTCAGAGGAGGACTATGGTGGAGCACCAAGTAGGTAACACAAGTGTTATCATGTCCATTTTATAATGTGGAAATTGAGGCTGGGAGAGGTTATGATTCACCCAATATATCACCTCCTCTTAGTCACAAAACTAGACCTTAGGCTCTGCATTCTAAATCTAGGGCTCTTCATGATACCAGATGATTTGTTGTTTCAGAGAGCCTTTGAGGTTGGATTAACTCAGGTGTAAGATAAGGTAGAGGCAGAAAGGACATCAAAAAGGATGAAGGAAGATCTCACTGTCAGTCATGAACGTTACAGTCACTGTAATCCAGTATAATTTGTGAAGGAGAAAAATGATGATGAGCATTCTACTCTAGTTGGAATCTCTGACTTGTAGCTCTCTGGGAGCTAAGCCCTTCCCACCAGTCCTCAGGTCTGTCTCAGCATTTTCAGTTGGCAGAAACTCTATTGTGTCCCCAGCACTTTTTGTCACTTACACCCATGGTTGTTATGACAGAGAAGAGCCTGTAGGCAGTAAATGATTTAATTAAGTTGCATTCATAATGCCCCAGCCTGACTTCATTTTATTTATATATGCACAGCTATTTACTGCAAATTTAAGCAGCCCTTGATGTAACACTGGGCACAAAACCTGGGTCTAAACAGTATATCTAAGGGTGCTCTGGTGAGTGTGTCTAATATTGTGTAAATGGGTCAGCATGTATGTGAATATGGGTTAATATGTGAGTGTTTATGAATGAACACGTGTTAGTATTAGCCTGTGTTAACATGTGATTCTGCGTATGGATTAGCATGTGTACGTTAGCATGAGTATGAGTGAATGTTTAATTACAAATGAGAAGCCAAAAAGTGTAGGGAATGAAATGCTGAGGTTAAAGTAGGAAAGATCAAGTTTAGATCCCATCTCACAGACTTACTGTGTGATCATGGGCAATTCGCTAAACCTTTCTGTTCTTCAGTTTCCCTATCTGTAAAATGAGGGGGATGGAACTACAGTTCTATGTGTGTATGTATTAGCATGTGAATGTCATTATGAGCCACGGTAGTATATGCTAGCATATGAATGTTAATATAGGTGTATGTGAATGTGTGTGTTAGTATACATTAGTGCATGAGTTTTAGTGCTTGTATAAATGTGCATGTTTATGCGTGAGTTTGTCTGAGTCTATGAACATCTCTGTGTGCTAAAGGACCCAGGTTTATGCTACAGGATTACCAATGTGTTTTCAGGCACTAGAATGAATTTGAGTTTTACCATCTGTGCCAGGGAAGGCATTTTTACCATAGCAAAGGAAATCTCCAGGAATGAGCAGCTGGAGGGTGAGGTCCAGAATGTGAAAGGATTTTGTGTACGAGAAGTGGGCTCTGTACATTCCCCCGAGCAATGTACTGTGGATATTTTATCCCTGTTGTTCATTCTTCACGAGTGACTTCCAGAGAAGCAGCACCTTTCTAGTCCTCCATCAGTCTACCCTATCTCCCTTTTCCTGAGTAATTTCAGTTTAAGTAGGAGGGTTGGTACTGGAATGGAAAGTCAAACTCAGAGGCATGACAAGAAACTGAACAAAGGAGGGGAGAGGAAATCATGACTTTTAAATGAAAGAGGATTGTTTACCACAGATGAGACAAAGGGGAAAGCAAGTCAGATTTTCAGCAAAGATCTCAAATATCCTCGTGAAGATGTGGCTGAAGATTTCTTTTGTTAGTAGAAACTAAGTTTATGTTGTTGTCATTCAAGCATTTCACTAATGCCATAAGGGTGCTAGGAATGTTTACTCATATGTTTCTTTTCTTATACCTGATTTTCCCTCTGTAAGGGAGAAGTCTTTTGGCTATAGGAAAATAAGGTCTTTCATTGCTCTAGGGGAATGGAGATTTCTTCTGCTTTCATTTTAACCTAATGTAATTGTGAGAGTGATAAAGTACACAATCCAATCTCTCCAACCTAGATAAACTGAGGCCTGGAAAAGACCTTAATTTAGGAAGGCCGAGGTCATCCACTGTATGCTGGGTCTTTGCTAGTCATCTTGACTTTTGTCTTGCCATTGGACTTCAATGATTCTAGAGGAGAGAGTGAGGCTGATCACTTCGTGCAGCTCTACCTCACTTAAATCCAATTCACTCTCAAGTCACCCTTGCGATGTCATTGGTCCTCTTCAAGAACAAAGGACAAATAACCACAAGTAAATGTAATGGCACTGAATCAAGGCAGTGTTAGCTAATGGAAATTGTTAAGGTTCTCAGCTCAGTTAACTTGGAGCCAAGTAAAGCTTTGGCTTTATGCAAACTAGGTTCAACCTTGTGATTCTTATGAATCATTCTGGCTCATGTCCTTACCATGTTTGCCCTGAAACCTAATAATTTGGTTGATCTGCTTTCCTTAAGATTCCCTCAAAAGACATCAAAATATATCTAGGACTCTTTAGTTGTGAGTACATGGAGTCCTCAACTCTTTTATAAGCACTCTAGATAATTTTGTCAGATACAGGCCAATCAATCAACTTTCTTCAGTCTGTAGAAAATGTAAAATAGTCAAAGGATTCACAGAAGTCCATAGACAGCCAAGACAACTCTCATTCTCTCTAGGGACCTATATAGTTCTCCAAACACAGCACCATGGTTGACATGTTTGCAGAAAAGAAATACCCAGATGACCTCTCATCTTCTGGTGAGCCATTCACTACTCCTGCCATTCCCCTAGGTATCTATGAATCCTACCAGCCCTATGATATTACCCTAATGTTCCTGTCTACCCCAAACAGGAATTTTGTGTTTGGAGTTACTAGAATCATTCACCCTTTGCCGTCACCCCTGAACAGTCTTCATAACAGTAGGCTATGTGCAAGAAGAGATCAACCAAATGATTAAGTTTCCAGGAGCAACCCTGGGTAGGAGCATGAGCCAAAGTGATTCATTAGAACCACAAGGTTGAGCCTAGATGACTGTAGTGGTGGAGGGCAAGGTCCATATTTGATACTCCTCATTGTGACTCAGGCCTTTGCTGCTCCTCTTACCACATAATTGCTCCCTCCTCTTCTGTCCTAGAGGCTCTGTCCAGAAACTCACTTTTGTCCAGGAAATTCCCCTTTCTCTCTCCTGGAGGATATGTCCAGGAACACTTGACACCCTGCCACTACCCCTGGCTGCTGCTATTTCTCAGTCACTGTGGTTTGCTCCTTTTATGGGTCCGTGTGCTTCCCCCTCTGAGAATTCTTTCAGCACTTGTCACTGCCTTTTCTTTGCTGAAATCTCTGGGACAGAGAATTCCTATCACTGCTTCTTCATGGAAGGGAGCCATGGATGGCCAGTGGCAAGCACTCTCAGACTCAGAGATTTCAGCCATGAAGGGGATTTTCCTGGGCACTGTGTAGATTCCCAGGCTTCATCTCCTGCCCCTCCTCAGGATCCAAGTTCATTCTCTGTGTGTCCATCTCTCAGTTGTGGTCTTGATATGGAAGGTCAAATAAGAAACTGTGCTTCTTTCTTTGTATATGTGGGGTGCTATGGGTATGGAACATTGCATACAGTGTCAGACTCAAATTGATGTGTTGGTTAGTTTTCCTCAGTTGATTCTATTATCCTTCTAAGTTTTGTTATAAGGGATGACTGACTAAGTAGGATAACAGAGGAGGAATGTATTCAGAAATGAAGATGACATAAAAAGAGGAGATAGAACTTTTTTTTAAAGGAACAACAATCAGAGGCAAGGGGTAAGGGTGGAGGGAGGAGGACAGATGCTTATCTGGGAGCATGAAGTGAGAAGTTACAGAGCAGCTGTGCAAAAAGTACAGGATTGGATGTGCAATTTATAAATCAATTCTAGCTAAGGAATAGTAAGAACAACTTTACTTTTTACTTCCTGGGGTACCAAACCAAGAAATAGTAAAGATAGAACAACCCATGATCTACAGGGTTGGAAAGAATCCTTTTTGCCTCTGGTCTGAGTGGCAAGGTCTGAAAGGGTAGGTCTTGACAATGGGGAAGGCCTGTAAGTTTAATACAAATATTTCTTCAATTGACTTCAGGTTTATGATGCAATGTTGACCAAACAAAGGAGCAAAATCCAAGTTTACTGAAAGCTTGGGAAAGCCTTTTTCAGAGGTCTTTATTTGAAAGGTCTGTAGAATGTCCCCAGGGCAATACACCTACACTCACTCTCCTCTTCTCTGGGACCTAATGGATGTTTGTTTATGGGTGCTCTGGGTGCCTATTGTGTGGCCACAGGTGACAATATAGCCCCTCTTTACATCTGCTCCTAAGTAGGCTTCTGGCCTTTTTGTTGCTGAGTTTATAGGGGAAGAAGGAATGGGGAATCAAATGACTTACTAAGGGTACTCCACTGCTCTGTAGAAAAATAATGAGTTTCTTTCTTATGTCCCCTTGCTTTTAATAGGATGAAAAGAATCAAATGATGACCACTAATGTGTGGGTGAAGCAGGTGAGTGTGTCAGAAGAGCTGAGCCTTTTTTCCTCCACGCATTGCCCTCTTTTCATCCTTCCCTTTTTTTCCACTTCTAACCATCTTGTTCTTTTATTGTGTTGATTCTGGGGTATATGGGTGCTTATAGGAATGGCAGGACTACAAGCTTCGCTGGGACCCGATGGACTATGAAAATGTAACCTCAATCCGCATCCCCTCAGAGCTCATTTGGAGGCCTGACATCGTTCTCTACAACAAGTGAGTTTCTTCCCTATAATGCCTCCTCTCTACTTCTCCTAGTGCCAGAGTAGGTATTTTTGTGGCTTCTGTATTTTTCCTAGGGTGTTGCATGGTGCCCTGGGCTATGCAAGAGACCTGGGTTCTTTTCCCTGTTGCATCTCTGTGTGGCCTTGGGCAAGTCATTTTCCCTCTTAGGGTCTCAATTTTCTTATTTATATAACAAAGAGATTGTCCTGGATGAGCTCTTTCAAGCTTTTCAGCTGCGTCATTCTTTGAATCTATAGGGAACAGAAAATAAATAGTCTTATGGTTCCATTGGTATAGGGAAATCTCAGGTGAAAAACTCTCTTAACAAATGAGGTTGGAGCCTTCTCTGCAACTTATAGTTGTAGAGTAGTTACTTAGAGCACTGAGAAGTTAAATAATGTAGTCAATATGTATCAGGAGCAAGACTTGAACCCACGTCTTCCTAGTTTAGAAGCCACCTCTCTATCCACTAGGGCATACTGCCTCTTTAGGTCTATGGTACTAGCAATCACTTTGTTGCAGCACATACACTTGCTACCTGTGTGACTCTGAGAAAGTCATTTAACTTCTCAAGATCTGTTTCTTCACCCATAAAATGTTGTTTCTGCTGCTGTTCAGTTATGTCTCATTCTTTGTGACCCTGTGGACCAACTATGCATGCGTTTTTCTTAGTAGATACTGGAGAGTGGTTTGCCATTTTCTTCCCCAGTTTTATGCAGGTGGGGGTTAAGTGATTCACCCAGGGTCACACAGCTAATAGGTATCTGAGGACAGATTTGAACTCTGGTCTTTCTGACTCAAGGCACAGTGCTCTATCCACTGAGCCATCCATCTGCCCGGTAAAATGACTAGATGACTAAGGTTCCTTCAAACTCTAAATCTATACTCCTTTGTAACTAACTAGGATGATCTTGAATCCAAAAGAATTTTGCAGGACTTTACTAACAGACATAAAGATGTCTTCAGAACTTGGTTATTGTGCAACATTTTGTCCCCCTCAAATACAGAGTGATTTGTATCTACTGATCTATCCTACCCCAGTTAAGTTTATCAATTAATAGAAGTGGACCTTACCTTGTGTAAAGCAAATATATGGAACCCAAATTTATATGAAGGATAAAATAGCTGGTGTTATTAGTGGAGGTTTCCCTAATGCATTTAAAATGGTATTTAATTTATTTATAATTCTTCAAATATGAAAATATATGTAAATTGAGGATGACTTGGAGCACATATTTAGACATCTCAGTTCTCCCACAGACAAATCCAAATGGCTTCAGTCTGGTTTGAAGCCCTCTCTGTCAGGTTGGGTATGAAAGGGAGATCTCAAACATAAAAGTGATTTAGAATCCTTAGCTTCCCCAAAGGGTCTGCTCAAGTGCTGTCTCTTTCACTAGGCCTTTCCTCATCCTCATAGTTTTTCTGCCCTGTACAATCCAATTACTTTATATTTTCTTTGTATGTATGCTACATTGATTTAACTGTGTTCAGCACTGCCTGTGCCCACAGGAAAATGGAAGATCCTTGAGGCTATTGTTTTTGGCCTTTTTATCCCCAGCCCCTACCCTTCCCTTGTATACAGTAGGCACTTAATAAATGCTTAATGAATTACTTTCTGAATGAATAGAAAAGATAATTTTAGACTAACTAGCAAATTACATGACATCCTCTTCTTTTGCCTCATTTGCTCTTTCTGGCTTTTTAAAGATTTATATCATTTCAATAATCAGCATGGGAATCATACTCTGAGCACGCAGTGAGTCCCATTTTCATTTCATCACACCAATTATGTTGGTCTGTTGCTGGGAAAGGAGAAGGTAGCCCCAAAGCTGCACAGAAATATGCATGGGAGAAGGTGATAAGGAGCCCCTGATGTTGGGACTGAGCTATTGCTCTCCTCAGCAGCCCTTCCTGACTCCTTCTCATTGGTTTTGAAGTCTCTCCTCCAGGGCAGAAGAAAGACACAGCTCAGCAGACTTCGGCACAAACTCCTAGCTAGCCAATTTCCCAGTAAAGAAGTTGCCTCCCTTCTGCCCAGTTTGTTCAGGGCTCCTGAGAAGTCGAGGAAAAAAAATCTGATAATTTAGAAGTCTTTTTTTCCCTTTCAGTTGGAATCTGCCTAAATTCTCTAGAGATTGACTGTTCCAAGTCTCTCCTCCCCTCCCTCCCCTTCCCTCCAGGTAACTGAGGTTTGGGCTTGTAAACAGCCAATTTCTCTCTATCTTCTGTTCCTTTCACCTTAACTCTCAGTGGTCATTTCTCAATATGTGTGAGGATGGGGAATAGTTCTTGAGGGAGAATCTGCAATGGTTATTTTCATTTTTTTCTTCTCCATATGGAAGGCACCAATTAGTCACTCTTTAGTGCGAGCTAAATCAAATGTAATGCATTTACCACCTAGATGTTAATACTCAGATTCTGGGACCCAGACCCAGCTGTCTGGGCCCAGCAGAAGTTTTCCTGCAGTGCTTACAAATAAAATAAATGGGTTTATTCCTTCCCTTCTTGTTCCTAACCATCTGTCCACAAAAGGCCCATAGTGTTCAGTCAAATACCAGGTCTAGTCTCTGAAAAGTATCCTAAGGGAATATACTTTAACTAAAAATGATTCTATTTGGTTAAGAAAGATTGGGTTTATCTATAGATTTAATGGATTTTTATATTGCCACATGAGGAAGAAACTCTATTAATATGGAATGTTATGTTATTTTACTATTATTTTAGCTGAGCTGTATTAAAGAATAGCTCTGGTCATTAAAGGATATGGAAGGTATTATTGTTGATGTTTTCCACCGCCTTATATATTGTGTGCAAACAGTGGTCTCCAAGCTGATTTGGGTTTTGGATTACCTAGATTTGGACTTTACAGGTCTACTATTTACTGCCAGGGACAGGACCATTGGGGGGGGGGATGGCAGGTTGGATCCAGAGAATATGTGTGATCAATATTCAGTTGGAGATCAAGAGTAAATTAATATTCTCAGGGAGGAATTAGGATTCTACTGGGTTTGGCTGAGCTGTAGAGATAAGCAGCTTTGGGTATCTGTAAATAGTCTCTACCAGTTCTGAGAGAACAAGGAAGTACACGAAGAGCCTGGGCTTTTCCCAAACCCTCTTTGTCACTAGGGGAACCAGAGGTGTTTAGCTGTGGACTGCTAGCCTCCTGGCTCCTCTGTAAAACTACTCTCTACAGGGATTGGTATCTATGCCAAAGTGACCATTCTCTCAATCCTCATTCTGTAGCCTAGATGGAACACAGGAAGCTCAGCAGGCATCTTGCCAGTTAGAATGAATCCTTCAGAATTGGCAACAAAGGCTGGAATCTAGCCAAATCTAGGCAAGCTGAGGCTTGAGGGGAAAATGGCAGCTTGTAGTTCTGGACACTAATTTCCAAAGAAAATGGCAGGTGATCTGTGTGGGCTTGTGTGCCGCCAGTCATAAAACTGAGTAGTCAACTCACAGTCAATTTTTTTTTAAACAAAAGGAGAAAGATGTCGTGGATAATCAAAAAGTAATTTCTATTTGGCATTGAAATTCATTCTATACCACACACACACACACACACACACACACACACACACACACACACATTCATTAAGTAACATGAAATGAGAAAAAAATTCATTCATTCAAGACAATAAGGGCTGAGGAAGATACAAAGAGGAGAAGGGAAAGGAGCAAGCATTTATTAGGAGCCTTCTATGTACTAGGTACTGTGTTTAGCGCTTTACAATATTATCTCATTTGAGCTTCACACAGCCCTGGGAGATAGGTCCTATTATGATCTCCATTTCACAGTTGAAGAAACTGAGACAGACAAAGGTTAATTGACTTGACCAGAATCACACAGCTGATGAGTATCTGAAGCTAGATTTGAACTTAAATCTTTCTGACTCCAGGCCTATTTCTCTATCTTCTGTGACACCTAGCTGCAAAAAATGAATGACTCAGTTCTTGCCCTCAACAAACTTTCAGTCTTGCAGAGGAGTTAAGATAGGCTAATATGTAACTGTAATAAAAGGTAACACGTCCCTTCAGGAGTACAAAATATATTATTTGGAATGTCAAGTATTACTAAAGAGATATCAGAAATGTGACAGCAGTTTGGAGATGGGAGAGATTACTATGGCTAGAGCAGTAGAGAAAGCTTCACCAAAACAATAGGATTTGTAACAGGACAAAAAAGGGGGAAGGTGTTGTTAACAGGCAAACTATTAACAAAGGCTTAAAAGTGGGAATATGCAATACATGTTCAGAGGAAAGTAAAGAAACCACTCAGTTAGGTGTATAGAATGTATGTAGTGAAGAGGAGAAATGAGACCAGAAAGAGAAGGTAGGGTCTGGTTTTGGAAGCTACATGGCCATGACATTTTAAATACGAAAAACAAACAAACAAACAAACAAATGAAGGAACAAACAACGAAGCCCTAAAACTAAGCAGATTTGCTTTTTAAGGATTAAAATGAGTGGTTTTCCTCTCCAATTTCTTTTAAAATAAACAGGAATTGAACTTTCCCTAATACACTGTGACCTCTTTATGCTCGAGGAGGAGGATAAGGCATACACATCAATACCATAATACAAACAACATATGACAAGCACGCAAAAGAGGTATTAACTTAGCGCTAGGTGAGGCCCAGGAGGGTGAAGTTGTTGCTAAAGGGTTGGGGTGAAATTTGAGCAGCTTTCATAGAGAAGGTAGCATTTGAACTGGGCGTTAAAGGTCTGGGAGAGGCTGTAAGGAAAGGATCAAATTCCAGAAACAGGGAATAAGAAAAGCATGGAGCTGGGAAAGTAAAAAGTATAAGTAATCTAGTTTGACTGAATCTCAGAGTATTGGAAGGAAAATATAATGAAATTCTATTCCATTCAATGAATATTTATTGAGTGCCTACTATGTATAGGACGCTAAGGGTTGACATGAAACAGTCTTTGACTTTAAAGAGCTTTTATTCTACGTTAGGTTACAAAATATACATATATAAGCTGTT